TGATGCCTTTTGAGACTGATACTTCCTCAGGGTGGAAACACTGATTCTGACCCCACCCTGGGATGCCGCGGCCTGGACACTGTTCCCCTGCTGTAGCCTCTGGCCTCTTATGTGTAAGTTTCTCCGTAGAAACCCCCTGCCCCACCTTAGATAGCACACACACACTCTTCACTTCCACCTCTCCCGTCTCCTCCTCTCTGTCTCTGCATAGCTAAAAAGCCGGCTATGGGCTGCTGAGTACGATTGGAACAATAGCGGCCTTTCAGGTGTTCTGTGCCAGCGCTGGGAGAGGACTACGGTCCTGAGACCCAGTCAATATTTGGACATGGTTGCCTTTTTGTGTCCGTTTTTAATCCAAGCGGAACCAAGCAGCAGGGAGCCGGGAAAAGGCTGAGAGGGGAAAGCGAGGGTAAACACTGGGAACAATGCAAATGGGGCAACTCACAATGCCACTGGGAAACTATCACAACATCAACTCGCCACCAAGTGAAAAATGGAGTATTGTTTCTTTAAGTGGAGATTAAAAAGAGAGCGGTGTAGGAAAAACAAATATCGGAGGTCATTCTGCCATGAGGAGAACTGTGCACGCGGAGGGTTTCACTGCAAATGGCCAATCATCAGAGAGGTCTTTTAAGTGAACACTTATACATGAAAATAGGCCACTGAAAAGATTCTTTGACTATCTTATGGAGAAATATGTTGCATCTGCTGTGGAAAGCTTTGGATGAGCATTATCAAGGATTAAAGGAAACCCCTGGGGTGACAGTGCTCCCCCTGAATGCTGGAATCCCTCTCTACCCAGCTGTCAGGTCGTTAGTCCCACCCAATGAGGTTCTTTGATGACGAGGGGTATCAGTTTCCATGGCATCGGAGACACAAACAGCTTGGGAGATTAGGGTCGGAACTCAGCCCTGATTCTCAGTTGATCCCACCTATCAGCAACAAATAAACACCTTGGGCGAAGGCAACGCCTGCATGCAGGCCATATGGACCCGGGTGGGCTTTAATGAAGCAGCTAAATAGCTGGTGAGCGGGGAATTCGCTAATAGCTCCTTGTCAGAGCAGCACTAAATACCCAACTCGTTCACTTTATTCCATCATTTGGTTACTGACACAGCCGACTAAGCTGACAAGGAACATCTGTGGCTCATTTTTCTTACATGAGTGTTTCCACAAGGAAAAGCTGCAGTTTTTGTTTTCCAGGTTTCTTGCCTTGACTGGGCTGTTTTTACCCTGCTGTTACTTTTTTAATAAACGCTTCATATGTTACATTTATGAGGATGGATCACACTAGGTGAACATTTAATAATATAATCTCATAAAATTTATTGAGGGCCTGTAAACCACAACTGGATTTATTGCTAGTTTTCACATCATACTTCATATAGTTATTACTAAAGGTGGTCTCCATACTGTGGTGAGCATTAAAACCTTCACAGGAAAACACTTTATAAGGTAGGATAGACGTTAAATTAATAGTAATAGATAAGTTATTAATGCTTTATTACTTTGACATTAACAAATATTTGTTGGCACTCCAAGATCTGCTCAACTAAACATTTAAAGTTATTTCTTAAACATTTGGTACAACTTTTTAAAGCAGATTGCAGCAGCAGTTAACTGTAATACCTGAAAATACACCAACAACATTTCAAAAACTTTTTTTATTTTTGATCATATGTTTCTCTCCTTCTAAATGAGAGGTTCTCGGTGTTTTTTGGGGCCAGAGACTTCTTACAGAGGAGAAAATCGTCCAAGGAACCCCAGAATAATCCCAACGCAGATTTAAGTGGCTGGGGCTCAGCATCACTTGACGATGTGGACTCACTCAAATGGATCTTCATGCTCGCAGCTGGCTAGCTGGCTAAAACGCCGCTCTACGGAGCAGCAGGAATGGTCCGTTACACCCTGAGAGAAGCGGATAGTCTCATGATATCATGTGTCAGGAGCATAGGAGAGTTTCAACTGGCCCAAAAGATAACGTAATGGACACAATATGCCTGTTTTACTGGCTTTAATGCACTAATATACTAATAGTAATGGATCATTTTGCAGAAACAAGGTCCTAAAACGCCCTGAGGTGTGTTATTATGAATATTAGTGCATCTGTAAATCTCACTAAATCTTCCATCAGGGTTGGGCTGTAAATGTGAATAGCAGAAAAATGTTTTGCAACCTGAGAACACAAAAGTTTGTCTGCAAAATTGCTTTCTGCACATCTGTCGATACACATAATTCGTTTAATAAACTCATATTTTATGAACAATTTATTAAGTACACAGTTCTTATTAACCTTCTCAAACGGCACGGCCACCACACAGACAATATCTGACCTAAGAGGAGACACACACTCTTTGCAGATTTATGTAAAACACCAGCATTTTTAAAGTTTATATCCAAATTAGCTGCTTTCCAAAGCAGCATAGCAGCCAAGTGCGTCACGGCTAACACCCCCTTAAACTAATGGGACAGATTGTTTCTGTCTCCTCCAGCCTCTACACCAGACAGATTTAGCTGACAATAATCTGAAGTCCTTTTAATTCTTTTTGAGGGATTTAACATTTAAAAAAATAACTATAAGTCATTATATCAATTATGTGTGAGCTGTTTCTTTTTAACAAGTCTCCCTGATACTGGAGTTCTCTTTAATTTCATTAAGTAGCTTATACAAGCACAGCGACTCGCTGTCACTGACTGTGAAAGCTTTTCAAACTCCAGGCAAGGCTGAGCCATCCTGAGGGCTGTAAATCCCTCCACCGCCGCTCCAAGTCCCGCTCATCTGAGCCTAATCAGCACCGAGCATCAGCGCAGGAAGATTGTTCCCCAAGATGAAAGCAAGGCAAACACGAATGCAACGTTTATCGAAATTACAAAAAAGGGCTCCTTCCAGCTCCTCTGAAACAATGGAAAAAACATGAAAATGTCAAAGCATTTCCATTTTTCACGACTCACTTCCCATTTCAATTCCAGAGCTCCTGTAGGGCATTTCATGAATGGCTGAGTATGGACTGCTGCTCCGGATGCCATTTTTCCTCACTTTGGTCAAATATGCAGCAGAAACAGGAGAAGAGGGGGGTAAGAAAGCTCATCTGGAAGTTGGGACTGTACCGCAGCAGGTTCCCAGGACTCCAACACTGAGTATGGTTACATTAAACAGCGGGGATTCAGCACCCGCCAGCTTGTATGGAATACTCTTAAGTTCTGCTGCGGGTCAGGGGCCCCTGGGCTTTTTAGCATGGCCCTCTTTTACATTATACAGCAAGGGTCAGGTTTAGATTAAAGTCATGAATGAGAAAAGGAGACAGTCATTTAGAGTTACTCATTTATTTAGTCCCTATTCTGTCGAGACAAAGTCCAGGCAGGGTGCCGTGCTGGGCCCGTCATTGGGCCCCATGGCCAGCGGTACTGCCCTGGTTTTGACCCTGACAACGGTCCCCTCTGTGCTGCTTAACCCGCAACTTGCCTGGTTACTACCAAGTGTGTGACCTCAGCATGTGTGGATCTCTCACAAGACTGAGCGCCACGCTGTGCCTTGGCCGCTGCTGAAATACCCCTGTGTACCCGCTTATTGTCTGCCCCAGCATGGGCCAGGAGGAGGGCGGACAAGGCGGAGGGGACACTTGGATAAGGGGGTGGGGGGGGGGGAAGCATGGCAACCAAGAAACTAGACTTGGGAACTGGGAACTGCTTCAATGCCAAAAATGGAGGGAGGAGAGGACCTGCAGCCAGCAAGTGTGACAGAAGGCTGTTATCAGACTCAGATATCTTTCTGTTAGCAGCAGAGCAAGAACTGCATCACCTCCTTTGATGTCACCGCTGCAGCATTTGCATTTCTATCATTAACATCCTGTCAGTTTAACTCCTCTGTAACACACACTTGCCCTCAGGGTGACCATTACAAAGACATACAAAGGCTCTTGATGTGTGTTTTGACTGTTGAAGCCCAGAAACCAGTTCCTGGCCTCTGAGCAAATGTTGATATAATATTTATTTATTGACTCATTCTGAAACTGCAGCCTGCTAATAAAGAAAGTATCACTCATCATATCACTATGTGCTCCGGTGCTGAAGGTGGAAAAGTGAAGCACTGAGTCACCGAGGGAGAGAGGCGCCCAGGCACAAGCAAGAGGAAGTTTCGGAGGAGAAATGTCACCTCAGGATCCAAGCAAAAGTTTCTGGGAGAAACCTCTCAAACAGGAAGCAAGAAACACATCAGATTACAATTTATCAGCGATAGTGCGATAGATCAATAACATTAACCCTAAGCTGACAGGGAATATCAGCAATCCCTCACAGGATGAGTCTCCATTTGGCACCAAAACGATCCTGTCATTTCTAATCGATGACAGCAGACTGCAAGCGGCTCAGCATTATTTTTAAAGCATCACAGTAACGCATTCCCAGCAGCACTTGTAACACTTCTGCATTCAAATTTCCAGCCTGATAATGTGGAGCAAACAGTGAGCATTAATGGATAACAGCACGTAAATGACAGCCTGTGTAAAAACACCTTGTTGTTGAGGAGCTGTCACGAGGAGATTTATGCTGCTAAATGTGCACGGTTCATTACAAAGAAGACTCAGACATGAGGGGCAATTAATCTTCAATCAATGCAACAATCCATCAACAAGGACAACAATTATTAAGGTGAGTGAGGCAGCGAGCAATCTGCCAGGCTTGCGTTTGAAGATTTAAAAATGGTGGCACTTAAAAGGCAAACGTTACATCATGGACACAAACAGGTGTGATAACAGCTGAGCCATTAAATTATCAGTATTTAACGTTGGGTTTTTTGCTTTGCTTCCTAAAGTGCATTACCTTCAGTTGCGCGCACCTGTAATGCCACAAATGGAGCTGAGAGTGTAACCACCTCAACCGATCAATCAGCCTTTTGCACTGCTGCACACGGGGCAGCGCACAGGGCGCTCCTGCGGGGCACAAAGAGCCCCCTCTCCCCGCTCCGTGTCGCTGCGTCCCTGTGGGATAGCGGGATTACTTACTTGGGGTTGGTTCTGTTCCAGAAGACGGCGTAGCGGTCGGACACCACCTTGGAAGCAGGGTCCTGGCCGTACACGCACATCCCAATGATGAGGATGAGGAAGAGGATCATGTCCACCTGCGGCATAATTGCTGTGGAACTCCGATGAACTGAAAATTGGCGAAAGTCCTTCTTGAATCAGGTTTAAAAGCTCTGATGTGTGCTGGTTGTGCCTGTGTGAATGACAGTCCACTTTTATTTCCTTAAAGATGGAGCTCTATTCTTCTGTATCTGGAGCTTAAACGCCGTCTTCTTCATTTAAAGCAGCAACTTGGGGTTTTAGCAGTCAGATCATTTCCTCGATCGGATCTACTTTAAATCAAGAGACGCCACAAAATCACCGTTTCATCCACGGCTCAACTCCGCACCGCGCAGCGAACAGTTTCTCCAACTCACAGTGAAACAGTTCAAAACAGGAGGCAGCCCTGCGCAATCTACGCAGTACAGAAGAATTATATATATGTGTGTGTGCGTGTCTTTTAGAATAAAAGAAGCAGCGGGAAAGTGTTCCTGGTAGCGCAGAGGTTTTAAAAAGAAAAAGCGCAGACACCCAGTCCCCGTGTCGCCGCTCTCGCCAGCTCGGGACCTCTCCTCTGGCTCCCCGTGGATCCAGCGACAACCACTCAAAGCAGCAGCTTGAGCTCCGGCTGAATCCGCAGCTGTCCGATCTCTCCTATCCAAGCGACCGAGAGCAACAGCACGAGATAACAAAGCTCTCGTGTAAACGCGCGCGGTCTTCAGGTTAAATGTCCCCCGACGAGCCGCTCTGCCACGTAACCGAGAGCGCGCCAGAAGCGGTGCGAAGCAAGTAAAAGCAGCGCCGTGTGGCTCCCGCTGCCATGCTCTCCCGGACCAACCCCCCCTTCTCCTCCTCT